TATAGTGATCGGGAAAACATCCTCTCGGGAATCGGTTCCATTGAGTAATAATTCTGGGCAAGAAGATGTCTGAGTGGAACTTCTTCCTAGTGTAAGATTTGAAGCTATCCCAATCCACTTTGGTATATTGGTAAATTGTCCTATTATATGGTAGATCGGAGGACGCCTTTCGTTTAGTAACAACTGTAGCATAGATCAGTGAGTGGTCTGAAATACCCAAGAAAGGTAATACTTCAGTAGAACTTTGGTCAAGGTAGGTTGTGAAAAAGAGGTCTAAATATTAGCATGTTACCCAGCTTTGTCGGGAACATGAATAGGCTTATACAGAAACTATGTCAGTTCGTAAGCGATTGCAGTATTTCTTTTCTTTATCGATTAGATTGTGGGCGGCCTAACCACTCCATGCGTTGAATGTCTTTGAGCTTTTGGTAATTGTGCCCACTGGTGGCCCTGAAGCTTGAACAGCAACAATAGATACAAGGATCCAACTGCCAAAATATAAGCTATTAATAGGGATATGTCCCGGAAAGAGATATATTTGTTCGAAGTAGCAAAGTGGTTGCTGACTACTGTAACCGAGTAGGACAATCTAGCAGGTAATCGTAATGGACTGGTCCTCGTCAAAGTGGCAGGCAATAGGCGTAGGCAATAGGCGAAGACTATAGGCGTAGTCAATAGGCGTCTTCTATAGATGTCCTTATGTACCTCCACATCAGTCTGTATTTATGGCTGACACCAGCCAATCATATTATTGTGAAGGGAAACCCAGGTGTATGCATATTCATTACATCAAATAGATTCTGGCGAGCCCAGTGAGCCCATAGACCTGGGAGTTCGTGTGCTGAAAGGCCACAAGAAAATTTCGAAATTTAGCAAATTACAAGTGGATTTTGAACTTATATCAAATGGGTATTAGAGCCTATTTTAAGGTCAATATTAGCTACTTCGAGCCATTGGTTTATTGTTCTCTCGCTAAAATGGCTTTATTTTAGTAATAATAATAATAAAAAACTAGGTTAAAAAGAGTTGGTTAGACAAGCTGATAAAGAAAGATTAATTTTTGCAAATCCCCTTTTCGCCTACGCATTTTAAAAATTTAGATTCTATCACAAAGTTGTACCAGCTTTTGGAAGTTGCCTGCTGAGAAGGTGAGACGTGAAAATTCCTATAAAATAAAGGCAAATGAATAGAAAAATCGTCGTGAAATTCGCGACCAAACACCATGAAATGTAATCCTGATGCTATTTTAAATGCTAAATTTGTTTTAAGGTAAATTGAAATGTTTATCAAAATATCACGGAATTTATCCTAGATTGTTTTTAGTATTTTCAACTGTAACAAATATTTTTGAATAAATTTCATACAGTAATTGTATTAATTACTAGAGGTCGAACTTCATAAAGAATAAGTAATGATCATTTTAATTGCTTTAATAAAATAAAATATACATGACGATGTACTAAGCTCCGATTCCTTAAAGAAAGAAATGTGTTTTTACTTCTTGAAAAATGATTCTCGAAAAAACGAAAAAAAAAAAACAAAAGATTGTTAACAAAAAAATAAGAACATATAGAGATCAGTGTTGATACTGCAAGACTACATATTGCCCGAGTCAATCAGGAAATGTTTATTACCGTGAATATAAAAGTTTTACCTCATCGTCCTCCTTACTCTCCTGACATTGCTCCATCTGACTCACATATTTTTAGGTCATTGAAACATGTTTAGGAATAAAACAGTTTATTAATTGTGAGGGTTCAATTCTGATATGAAGTGTATTTTTGCATCGAAACTTGGAGAAATATACGCGCGAGAGTTCCACAGTTTGCCAAAATAGATTATGCTAGCGATAATAAGAGGCTACATTATCTTCATTAAATATATTGGGGTGCAGAATTAATTTCAACTCGGAATTAATTTCAACTCGGAACTAAAGGTTAGGGTTAGGGTTTTTAAATCAAGTTGAAATTAGTTCTGAGCTGAAATTAGTTTCGAGTTGAAATTAGTTCTGTCACTCAATATATGAGTTATGACTAAAGAATCTTGTTCCACCTGCAGATGCGACGGAACTTTATATTAAACATAATTGAAATTCTTACACCCGCACAATTCAGCAGGCAGAGACTATTCTACACGCAGGCTTACACATACGAAGGCTGTTTGAAAAGTAACGGGACAAGTGTCACAACTAATTTATTTCAATTCCAAACAACAAACTATATGGTTTCCCCTTCAAAGTAATCCCCTTCGAGTCTAATGCACTTCCCATGTTTCTCTGCCACGGTTCTTTGCACTGCTGGAATGATTTTTCTTGGATGTCCTTCATCTCTGTCGTTACGGCCCTCTTAATGGCCTTCACGCCTTTAAAACGGGTCCCTTTGATGATCCCTTTGAGCTTGAACAAAAATAAAAAGTCACACGGAGCAAGATCAGGTGAATAGGGAGGTTGCTCCAGTACGGCGATGTTCTTCTCAGTAGGAACTGCCGGATGCTCAGGGCACTGTGAGCAGGCGCATTGTCGTGGTGAAGCAGTCACGATTTGTCCTGCCACAACTCTCACCGCTTCTTGCTTAACAAAGCAAACGTCATAGGATCTCTTTGTAAACTTTCTGATTGATCGTCTGGCTGTGTGGCAAGAACTCAATGTAGACGTAGCCGCTTACAGCGAAAAACAGATAAGTCCTGTTACTTTTCAGACAGACTTTATAGTGTGTGTTTCCCAAACTTAATTTAGTCTGTTACAAGGCTACTCCTCCAGTGAGAATTGATCTCACTAAAGTAATAACAATAATCGTTATCCATTACCTCCCCGTCTGGATAGCGTCCCTTTATTCATTAACTATAACTGCTCAGAGCCAGAATAGTGGAGAATCCAGTTAGGACCGAAATCGTTACACTAATGAATGAATCACTGCGTTAGCGTAGGCGTCCTAGCCATTTATTCATACAACAATGCAAAAGAAGTTAAACACAAGCTCGAACATTTAGAGAGTCTATTTAAAAACATACACACATATATTGTGATGATGGTTATTTAACACGCATAGGCATATACAAAGTGCGATGTCTAAATTAAGCAAAAATGAAAATAACACTAACATCTCATTTTAGCAGATAAATTACCAAAATTACACAAAAATATCTTGAAATACTAAAGAGTAAATCTATTCAATAAAATCGCCATTGGCTTCAACTACAGCCTCCAGTCGACTTTGGAATCTCCTGCATCTCATCTGGACGGTCTCCTTATTTAAGCTGGTGAATGCTACCATAATCATTGCCTTCAGTTTATCTTTGGTGTTACATGGAGTTTTGTTAGTATCTCGCTCAACTGCGCCACACGCATAATAATCGGGGGTGGGGGTTGAAATCTGGGGAGCTACTTTGTCAGATGTAAGGGGTGATGTGGTCGCAATAATTGTCTGACAGCCATGACTGTGTGTCCTGCTCGTGTGGCATAGTGTAGAGCCCTGTTGTCAGTCATAGGGTCTTCCAGAAGCTACCCTCTTGACCCAGGCAACTTTACCTCTTCAAGGCACTTGTGAGGCAGTCATCAACAAATTCAGGAGTTCTTTTCTTATCAGAACGATCAGGGTGTGTTTTCGGAGCTGTCGTACCTTCGTAATCACAATTAGACCCATCCAACTCTTTCCGAATCCTCTGCACTGTCCTCAGATGGACACCCAAACACTCTGAAATGTTCGTATTGGAGCATCCAGCGCGAATGCCAAGCAGTACAGCATGCTGTTTCTAAATTTCTGGCAGAGTGAATTGAGTCAGGGCTCTCTTTTTCTCATAGTGTTCCCCTGATCCAAATATACTGTGCAGTCGACCAAATCAAAACAAACAACGCGGATGCGCGAAATAAAAATAAAAAACAATAAAATAGCGACAATTTACATATCGCACCCTGTATTGACTACATAGGTCCATTGGCCACACGCTGAACAATGAAATCGATCATGCTGCATATAAAAACTACTGAAGATTGACATTTTGCTAAGTTGAAAAGCAAACGACCATATTGATTGAAGCCTTTGTGTTTCTGGCATTTTCTTCCAATACGTATCAATTGACGTCATCAGTGGCAGCAAATCGACGAACACATTCGTTTTGTAGTATATTGAATAGTTGTTGCATAAATGATATAAACCCCTCCCATGCTGCACACATTACAAAATGCATGTTTATTAGAGTTTTAAACATCTTTAAACGTTAATATTACGCTATTGAAGGCGGAGGTGCAGTTGTTCTATAAAAATAAATATATGTTTATGCACTTTTTCATATATTATGTCAATAGTCTTCGTCTGAAGTTATTATGCAAGTCACATAAATCTCAACCGTCCTGGGTAAGACGATAAACTACATCCAACAGCAAGGCCTCTGATCTGGAGGTTTTAAAGAACGTGGGCCCACCTCTTAATTGCTGGTTTTCCCAGGTCTACTCTAAAATGAACTATGTTAAAAGAGGTAAGCAGTTTTGATATTTTAAGGATTATATTTTGAAAATCTCAATAATATTAGCAATTATAATATCATATACTGTATAAGAAATAAACGGTTATTTTCATGTTATCGATAACCAATTTATCTTACTCAAGTATACTTATTTACTTTTAATTTTTTTCACAACTATAATTAATAAAACTAATTTTAGCTGAGATTCTGGAGATTCGGCCAATGTTTCCAGAAGTCATTCAAATACTCTTCCCTGGTTGTCAATAATAGATTGATTGATTCGTTTTTTTACGACTTATCAAGTTATTTAAAGCAAGAAAATATTTTTATATTGTAAGAATTATTTTTTGAGATAATAATGATTTAGTAAAAAAAAAAAACTTACTAATTAACCCATAGCTGGGGAGAGAAGAAGTGGATTCATACCTTTCCCAAGAATATTTGCGAGTAAGTAAATATAACCGGAAGTGGAACTTAGCTCCTCGATTAACTTTTCCCAACCATTATCCATTACACCATCCGCACATACAAGATTACAGCAAGCGGTCATCCATCAAGGTATTGACCAAGCTCGATGTTGCTTAACTTCGGTGATCGTACGGGAACCGGTGTTTCAACGTGTAAGGCCGTAAGACGTCTCTAATAAGAACGTACAAATATAAGAACTATGGTCGAACAGGTAATATTCCCCACCCCTTTCCGCTCCAATCAACAGTTCATTGTCACTTACGTTTGCAGTATGGTGCAGTATAATAATTTTATATACCCTGCCATTTTTTAAAAATAAAGATTAAGTTAAATTATTAAACAAAGAAAAAATTGAAATAAAATATCTATTTATCTATATTTCTGAGATGCGGTATTATGTGCATTAATTACAGGTTCTCCACTGAGGACACATGGCACAATGGATAAAGGTGTTAGTTAGATCTAGTGACAGGACCCAAAAGAGTTTCAGTTCAATACCCGGTTAAGGGAGTAGAGAACTTGGAGAGGGGAGTTAAACAGGAGATAACTGATAACTGACATCCATTAAACATAGAACGTGGAACAGTCTACCCCAGTGAGCGAAATAGGGTTCAGTTCGACATTCCAACCACCTGAAGAAGGCCGGAGCGTACAACGGCCGAAACGTTGTGATAAATAGGGCAACAAAGATGAGGACAATAGTCCGAATAATGAAAATAATGAAAATATTTATTTTTCAAAAGACCAATAAATTAATTATTGTTGAAATTCAGCAGACCAGAATATATTCCAGGGAAGTGCCTCCAAAGAAACGCTATACCTAAAGTTTAAACTGAATTTTTAAAAGTAAAAATATTTTTAGAGAGTTTATTTTAGTTTTAATTTCAAGCTAATAGATTAAATTTAATATTTCCAATGAGCAAAACACTTTGCTGTATTTCAAAACTAATTTAAATTGACTGGAAGGAGTTTTTTTTAATCGCTAAAAATCACTAGTTTTAGCCATTTTTAATTATGTTAGCACAATGTAATTTTCTTTATTACAAAATCTTTCAAACATAAAAATATAATTTTCTGAAACTTTATTTAAGGAATAATTAGCTTACTTAAATCATAATTAATCTGATTTGAAACAAAAATTACTTACTTTTAGTTTAAAATATCACAGAAATGCATTTTTAACAGAGAGGTAAGTGTTTTGATTAGGAATTTCATAAAATTAAATAAGTGGGAGATAAGTGTTGAAAAAAATAATTACCAACATTTAAAAAAATATTCAAAAATAATTTAAATGTATTTCTGAATAAATCTTGACAGTTTCATTAAAATCTGACGATTATTTGATTTTTGCAAAAATTTCCAAATCAATGTTTTTCATCGCAAAAAGATGTTAAATTTCCCCTGCAAATCCTTGGTCTCCTCGATGACGCCAGAAAAATCACATTTTTCACCAAAAATTCTAACATTCTAAAAAGGATAAAAAATATAATTCAATAATAAAAAAAAATCCTTTAGTCTTAATTCCTCTTAATAATAACATAATGGTTTCGACGATAAAACTTTAAATTTTGGGCATTTCCTCATGCATACTCATACTGTGACGGTAACTATATATATATATATATATATATATATATATATATATCCAGGTAAGATGAGAACGAATAGAGTACAATTCCAACGTTCGTAACATTTAATTTAAAAGAGACCTCAATATAAAGTAAAGCAATATTCTTTATTTTAGGACATTACATTGAAAACGTGTCAAAATCGGTACACAATTGCAGTCGTGTTTCGATGCGTATCAATGCATCTCATCAGGCGATTGTCTTTGATACGCATCAAAACATGACTGCAATTGTGTAGCGATTTTGAGATGCTTTCGATATAATAAAATAAAGTATATATATATATATATATATATATATATATGAATAATACCAATTTGTTACTACTTAGGATAATTCCAAGGAGGACATTAATCCAAAGAGAGCTCAATGTAAACTACAGAGCATTATAATAATAATAATAATAATAAATCGAGAAAAAACGAAATGGAATCTTTAAGTTTTTCTTGAGTTATTATATATATATATATATATATGTATATATAAATAAATTATCCTTACCTATTCATATATATATATATATATATATATATATATATATATATATATATATATATATATATATATATATATATATATATATATATATATATATATATATATATATATATATATATAAATTACCTATTCATATATATATATATATATATATATATAAATTATCCTTACCTATTATATATATATATATATATATATATATATATATATATATAAATTATCCTTACCTATTCATATATATATATATATATATAAATTATCCCTTACCTATTCATATATATATATATATATATATATAAATTATCCTTACCTATTCATATATATATATATATATATATATATTTAAATTATCCTTACCTATTCATATATATATATATATATATATATATATATATATAAATTATCCTTACCTATTCATATATATATATATATATATATATATATATATATATATATAAATTATCTTACCTATTCATATATATATATATATATATATATATATATATATATATATATATATATATATATATATATATATATGAATAATACCAATTTGTTACTACTAGGGATAATCCCAAGGAGGACATTAATCCAAAGAGAGCTCAATGTAAACTACAGCGCATTATAATAATAATAATAATAAATCGAGAAAAAACGAAATGAAAGGTTTTTTCTTGAGTTATTATCATTATATATATATATATATATATATATATATATAGAGAGAGAGAGAGAGAAGAGAGAGTGTTAGAGAGTGAGAGTGAGAGAGAGAGGGGGTCTCTCTCTGTTCATTTCTAAATGGAAAGGGAATAACGGAAAGCAAATGAGAGGAAGAAGGAGTTGTAACGTGCCAAGAAAAAGTAAACGGTAATTAAAAATGGGAGAGAAAAATATAATGAAAATGCTGTGAATGAAATAAAAGAATGGACGGAAACGAAAGTAACACTTGGAAAGATATACTTTCTGTTCATAAATTTATTACTTCTTTACCCCTTTGATCTTTTGAAATTGGGTGAAGCATTATTTATTTATTTTAAACATGAGGCACACCTTACTCCGGAAAGCAGGCAGATACGACTATAGTTTTAATATATAGCTTTTTCCTTTATAATATGGCGATGTATTTGCAAAAAGAATATAAGTAAATGTTTTAAATATTTTATCACCGTAAGTGTCAGCCACGAGATGATGACCCTCCGATACCTGTTCTTGTCTGTCATCACTTTACGGTTATCTTTTTCTTTTTTGGTTTACCCTTGTGCTTAGATTTTTGGTGCTTTCTGGGTTGGTCATCTTTCATTAAAGACACTTTGGTTTTAGCTTCTTGCACATATTGGTGCAGTTTATATGCCTTGTGCTCCTCCTTCATGACATCGTCAAGAGGTCGGACAGTAACCCTTTCCCCGCCAGTCAACAATACTCCACCCTTAATCATCGTTTGGCAATCATTTTGCCTGCCTAGGGTAACTATCCACCGGTTACGAGTAGTTGGATCACCAACGTTCACGGACACGGGATCAAACTGAAGGCTGATAATTGACACGTCCGGGTACTGGGACTCAAGTTCACGCTTGATCTCCTCGTGCGAAATGTGAACATCGCTGCCGCAGCCGAAACAGACTGCAAGCGGGCGTATTTCTGGGAGTTCTTTGCGCATGCGTATAGAAGGTGGTTTGTATTTCCTCTGACGCAGACCGGCCTGCAGCTGAGCAACCAGCTGGTCGACTTTTTCTCTCTCCGCAGCATCTGCTTCTCTATCAATTCGTTTGTCTCTTTCAAGGTTTTCCTCCCTGTCATCTTGTAGCTGCTGACCCATCATAGACTCCGATCTCTCTTCTGATTGGTCATCTTTTTTAAAATGGCTGTTCTTCACTACCAATTGACCATGTCCACTGAAATAAATAGTTTGGGTTTTTTTTTTAAGCAAAAAATATACACTCACCTATTTTGTAAATAAATGAATGCGAAATATTGCTAGTAACGGATTATGAATTTCGGTTAGCAAAATAACAAAATTGAAAATAATTATATGTAACGTGCTTCGACCTTCAAAAAACTTCATCAGATTAAAATAATGTCCTTATAGATGAAACTATATATATGTTCTTATTGGTGGAATTATACAGGATGTTCCAAAAGTCACGTGACAATTGGCAGAAAACATACACTTGTGAAATAGCAACCAGAGAAAATTTGCAATCTTCCATAATTCGACCAATAAAATGTCTTAATAATATGTTGTCATATACAAAACATGATTCCATCTGGTAAATAAATATCAAATTTATAAGGTTATCAACGGTAATGCGACTTTTGTTATTAAAATTTAATCATTTTTCTTTACTATTATATGTTTTGGTACTACTTAAATTGAGTGGTCCGCTAGTAAAAAATATCGAGAAAAATGTCCTCAACAATTTTTGTAGATTCATATTCAAAAGTCTTTCGTCTACCCACAGCATTCGCCAGTATCGAAAAATATTGATTTTTTAAAAATAATTTTAGGAGGTGGTATCCTTTTAATAATATAAATGCAGTGTTTAATCGATCCCTAATTCTTAAATAGTGCTATGTTTTTATCTATAAATGGCAAGTCTAAATTGGTTTCTGTTGATGGATTGGTTCGTTTTTTACGGCTTATCAACCTTTTGCAGGTCATTTAAAACCAGAAAATATTTTTAAATTGTAAGAATCTTATGGAGGAGATAATAATGATTTAGTGCTACAAGTCTTACTAATTAACCCATAGCTGGAGGAAGAAGATGTGGATTGATATCTTTTTCCAAGTGTATTTGTGCGTAAGTGAATATAACGAACCCGAATGGAAGTTGAACTCGGCTCTCCGATTAACAATATCCACTAAAGCATGCGCACATCCACGATTACAGCACTTAATATTCCCAAGAGGTCAGCTATCTAGATACTGACAAGGCTCGATGTTGCTTAACTTCGGTGATCGTAAGAAGTTTGAAATTGTGCTTACGTCATTAATAACTGCGTCTTACTGATGTTGTGCTTTATTCAAATTCTTAATAATACGCCGTTATCAATGACGTAAGCACTGTTTATAAAAATGTACTAAAACATGTACAGAAGTCAGGCATTGATTTGACACTATTTATGTTATGAACATAACCCACTTCTAATATCATATGATATATCCCGGAAAGGGATATATTTGTTCGAACTAGCAAAGTGGTTGTTGACTACTGTAACCGGGTAGGACAATCTAACAGGTAACCGTAATGGACTGGTCCTCGTCGTGGTGATAGGCAAGAGGCGAAGAATATAGGCGTAACCAATGTACCTCCACCTCAGTCTGTATTTATGGCTGACACCAGCCAATCATATTACTGTCAGGGGGAACCAGGTGTATGCATATTCATTACATCACCTCCCCATGAACTAAATTTAGCTTCAATATTTTCTCTTTTTAGGGTCTGGAATTAATCGATTGAATTTTTCCTAAGTCTTTTTCGCCTCAATCCTCCTTGCAATGGTGGCGTTTGACACACTGGCCTTGAGGTCGGGGATACCTCCATTGGTGAATGTTAACTTACTGGAACGGGAATTTCAAATGCATCATACAGGACTTTTATTGGAATCTCTTCGGTATTTTCCGTGACCTCTGTAGTGTGTCTGGGTCTCAATTGATTCCAATGTCTTTTGCACCGAAATTTTTTCCCTTTTATGTCATATATGACCTGTCCAATTCTTTTGGTTATCAATCCTACTTCCCAATACATTTTTCCAGCCCTAAAGTTCTTGAAAAAAACTTTGTCACCTGGCTTAGACGCTTTAGTCATCTGCTGGCGATAAACCTGACGTTGTATTCCGGTTTGGCGTGATTCCTTATACTATCAAAAATTTCTGAATACTTCTTTCATTCGTGTCCACGCCTTGGTTTTTCTTCAACGCTCGTTTAAAGGTGTCCACAATTTTTTCTGCCTGTTCATTCGATCTTGGATGATATACTGGCGTTGTCAACTGTATATTTTTTCTTTTGTTTTAACTTGTGAGGTCGTTTTGAATCTCGTCGCCAACTGATATGTCCCGGAAAGGGATATATTTGTTCGAAGTAGCAAAGTGGTTTTGGACTACTGTAACCGAGTAGGACAATCTAGCAGGTAACCGTAATGGACTGGTCATCGTCGTAGTGGTAGGCAATAGGCGTAGGCAATAGGCGCAGGCAATAGGCGAAGACAATAGGCGTCGTCCTGTACCTCCACATCAATCTGTGTTTATGGCTGACACCAGCCAATTACTATCAGTGGGGACCAGGTGTATGTATATTCATTACATCATGATAAAACGTCGATATTTTTTCATTCTGACTAATGTTGTGAGTAAGAGATGATCAAAAAATGAATGCATTTTTTTTGCCAGCGGATCTCTCAATTTCAGTAAGTTTTGATTAATTTTTATTTTCTATTCCTTAATTAAGTCCTTCATTGTCTATTATACAGGAGCGACAGAAATACCTCCCGCATATATACCTCCCAGAAATACTTGCAAATACTGGTAAGACATTAGTGACAATGGTGCTTTTTTCGAGCTAATGTCTTACTATTATGTGGGAAGTATTTCTGAGAGTTATATGCCGGAGATATTTCTGCTATACTCTGTTTTATACTTCCCCGGTTTTCAAAAGCTAAACATACTATAGAATACACAATCATCATATTAAAATCCCTAAATAAATTAGACAGGGTCTGAATGAAAGCTTATTTCAATATTTTCCAATAAAATGCTAGACAATACCAATCGCAATTTTTTAATGATAAAATGCTATGATTTGAACCAGATAAAAATATGTATACAGGTAAATCAATAAATTCGTAATTCGCTCATGAAAAAAGTGATTTTAGAGAATAAATATTTCTTTTATTATACACTGATTTATTTGGACTAGTATCTCCATATTGGTTGATTTTATATTTACATCGTTTCAACCGTTACACTCTGGACATCTTCAGGCGTCTTTCGATAGATGACCTATTGGATAAAAGTATTGGCTCGAATGGTTGTCGTTAATACGAAAATAACTTATTTTATTTACAAATATAACAACTATGGTAGGGGAGGTAATATCTTGGATCTACAGGATGTCCAGTAAAAAAAGCGACAAATCTATTATCACTGTTTTATATTTCAGGAATAATTGACCTTGAATAACCTTGAATAAATTTCTTGAATATCCATGACCTTGAATAATCATTCGACTCTTGCGTAATTACTGAACTATGATTGGTTCTTTTATAATTGATTAATTACTGCTCAATCTTGTGACTCGTCATTTAAAGGTTATTTACAGACAACTTTCGTCTTCCGTTCTGCCCTTCTCTTATGGATAAACAACTCACTTATTTTGAACGTCAAGTTATTGTACTTTTCAAAGATGAACATCCGACGTGCGTATTGACGAAATGTACAGAAATTTTTCCTGAATTTTTCAGTCACATCAGTTGTCATCAGTTTTCAACAGTTGTCTCACGTCTTTCTGAATTTACCACCTTTTTTATTATTTGGCTCCCTGACGTCGTGAGTTCAATTCCTAGATCGGCTCGGGAAAAAAAAAAAGTACAAAAAAAAAAAATACATGTACTCTGGTTCAGTGGAAGAGACACGTGACATCACAAGGACGAATAAGCGATAAAGAAATAACTAACACGAGATAACATCGAGAAGAAAGAAAACAATCTGCCATCGTACATTGCATAAAGGGTATGATTTGAAATTCCCAGGATATTACCAAGTACGGCAGACATCTGAACAAGTCTGGACGGCACAACGTACGAACTTTTATTACTATAACGATCAAGTTGTGAAAACTCTCCCTTCAATACACCGTGTCCCTTCAGGACGTTGGCGATCATGGCTCTTCACAATTTCGTGTCTTTCGTAACTTTAAATAAACTTTGTCATTTTGCTAACTCTCCTAAACCTTGATCTGCCATCCATTTACTTGCTACTTACGTTATGCACTGTTTTCCTTTGTCTCTCTTGCCTTCAATCTATCCTGTGAGTATAACATTTTCCAACCCTCTTTCCTCATTACGGGCCTTAGAAATTGCAGCTGTCTCTTCCTGATGGTAAGGATAAATGTCATTTTTGTGTCCATCTTCTTTAAAACTTCGTCATTGCTCACATGTTCTCTCCGTGGTATTCTCATCATCCTTCTGTATAACTACATTACTGTTTCTTCAAGTCTCATTTTCACCTGTGATGAGATTGTTCAGCATTCACTACCTTATAGGAGGACTGATATTACATAACAGTTCAGTACTCTTTTTTTTGTTTCTAACGAAATATTTCTTTGTTCTTAATACTTTGCTTAGCTACCTGAAAGCATCTTTCGTTATTCCAATGCGCCTTCTGATTTCACTTCCGCACTCTCTTAAAACACTTCCTAGATATTTAAATTGTTGTACTTGCTTATTATCTAGAACCATCCCGAGTAAATCAGTGTATAATAATAATAATAATAATAATAATAATAATAATAACTTACCACACAAATATTTATTTTTAAAGAAAATTTCTTTTTTTATTAATGTCTAGGACTTCTCTATAGATCGAACGTTATGTAATGAAAATTTCATATCAAAATTCATCCAAATTTATGCTAGACTATATACAGGGTGTCCATAAAGTTCGTGTGCACTTTAAACAATTTCTAACTTTATTTGTATTTACGATAGAAATAATCTATAAAAATATGTTATAAAGTTTCATGTACCTAGTTTTAAGTATAGCTAAAATGACTAATGTGATTTCAGGCATTACTGTAAATCAGTTGGCAAATATTTTCCGTGAACTGCAAAATCGTATTACCCTTTGTATTGCTAATTATTGAGGACATGTGGAAACTTAAATAAAATTTCAATAAAACCTTAAAAAATATAGATTTACTTCTTTCTAATCGTTTTTACAAATTATTTCTATCGCAAATACAAATAAAGTTAGAAATTTTTTAAAGTGAACACGAACTTTATGGACACCCCGTATTTATTGATCTATCTTGATACAGTTTTTAAACAAAGAAATGGAATAAAATATTTTCAGATTGTTTTTCTCAGTAAACATGGATAAACGTGACCACAATAAGACGCAGTCTCAAAAGGACGGTTTTTCCCATGACACCGGTTTTTTTTAACTATCTTCACTCTACAGCAATGTTTATTGTTTTAAAAAGTGATGCTTAGAATCATAATAAAATCTAAACCTATAAAAGTGCATTTATACTTTTTCTTTGTTCTGTAGAAATGACAACAAAAATGAACACCATTTATTTATTAGATTATTTATTGGAATGGTTGGCAAAACATCGGCGAATTGCCAATTGAGTCGGACATGAACATGATAAATAATAAGGTGTTATGAATAATCAAAAGTGGTCTCCCCTTGTTTTGCTACTCCCTGTTTAAGAGAGCTATTTCTGTTTACTGGGACTATAAAAGGACACAATACGCGAACCTTGTATTCTCAGTTGAATAAAGCTTTCTTAAAGCCTACATCTGTGTACTTTTGTTGTCATTACAAAAATACTCGTTTGTGGTTCACATATTTTAATAATTTAGTAAATGTTCATAAATTTATGAATAAAAAAAAGTGTTTCTATTTAGTAAATTTATAATTTGGTAAATGATAAATATTGCATTGCATTAGTTTTAATGTATTAATATTAGAATGTTATAAATAAAAAAAACTATTCTTTTAAATAAACGCTCGAATAAATAATATTTTATTGTGAATTCTCAAAAACAAAAAATTGTATAAATTCACTTTCATCATGTGTTTAGATTTTATTTAAATTCTAATCATCGCTTTTTTAAAACAATGAAGAGTAAAAGTAGTTAGAATAAAAGCGGTGTCATAGGAAAACCGTTCTTTTCAAACTACGTGCACGTTTATCCATGTTTGCCTTTTTCTGTGTTTCATGTATTTGTATTGAAATTTACTCACTTTGTTTCTGGATTCTGTTGGAATAAAGAGGAGAGCATTGATATGCTGGAAACATCTTTAACGTTATCTTTGTCTCCCGTTTCAGGAGAGACAATCACTGCTCTTTTTCCACTCTTCCGCAATACAGTCCCGGCACTGAACTGTAGTTTCTTTTTCACTCCTTCGCTAGGTTGCGGTATTTCATTTCCGCACTCTGCAGTTCCGTTACCAACGTTTCTGTGTTGCCCTTTACTGCTGCGGGACCGGAAACCTAATTCTCGCAGACGCTGAATAAGACGCCGATTTAACGGACTGAACGTCGGTTGAGTAACTGTTGATGTCGTTTCCGACGGTGAGGCGTCCTGTCGTGGGTTTGAGTGAGCTAAGAGCATATCGCCAGCGGAGGTTCCGATGTGCAGCGATTGTAGAGGTCGATAGAACTGTTGGGATTTTCGGACTTCTAACACAGGCCACACTTCTTCTGAAGCATGGCGCGGTGTTGCTATAATTTGCTGACATCGGTCTTGACAGATTTGGCCATGGTAGGAGCGGCTACTCAATATTAGTGGTTGCCGATAATGGTAACAGCCACTGGCTCGACCCAAGGAACGATACTGTACAGAATCCGAGATGGGGTGGGGGTGGTTGACGCTTAGGTTGGTGGGACAACTGGTTCGTGGGAGCCAAACACCGTCTTCTGAAATTAAGGATATGTAGAAAGAAACCATGAAATAACAAAAAAAATCAAAGAGATAATTCGAACAGAAAATAAGACATTGAACGAGTTGTCGAAACAACTTTGGGAATTAAAAGAGTGATTCCAACTAACAAGAAAAAAATGGCTTGGAAAGAGACTTTAGTTTTAGGAAGAACTTGCAAAACGGTTGTTTTCGTTGGTGGTAAATCAACAACTCTATTGATTGTTTAAATCCGAAATCTAAGTATTGTGTACCCAATTTTATCTATTTTTATTTATTTATTTATTTGGCGATATTAATGGTTTTAGTGATACAAATCTTGCTAATCTGTCTATATTTCCGAGATGAGGTATTATGTACACTATTTACATAATTCGAACTATTGTCCTCATCATTGTCGTCATATTTATCAGTACGTTTCGACCGTTATACGCTCCGGCCTTTTCAGGTGGTTGGAATGTCGAACTGAACCCTTTATTTCACTCGACGGGGTAGACTGTTCTAGTTCCACGTGCCATGTCTAATGGATATCAGTTATCAGTTATCTCCTGTTAATTCCCCTCTCCAAGTACACATGGCGCAGTGGGTAAAGGCGTTAGTTAGATCCAGTGACAGGACCCAAAGAGTGTGAACCTGAAGAAGGCCGTAGCGTACAACGGCCGAAACGTTGTGATAAATATGGCAACAAAGATGAGGACAATAGTCCGAATAATGTAAAAGGTCTTGCTAATTAACCCATGTCTGGAGGGAGAAGAGGTGGAATCATATTTTTTCCAAGGGTATTTATGCGTAGGTGAATATAACGAACCCGAGGGGAATTGAAACTCGGCTCTCCGATTAACAATTCCGTGGCATTATCCATTATACCACCTTCACAACCAAGCTTGCTACACCTAGTATTCCTAAGTGGCCATCTATCTATTTACTGACCAGGATCGACATAGCTTAACTTCATTGATAGTACGGGGACCGATGCTTCAACATGATGTGACTATAAGCCTAGTCAAAAAGGAAGAAGAAAAAAAAAATAAGAGTACGTCCGGGCCATTTTTTGGAAATGCAAAAATATTTTAATAAATAAAAAATGCAATTAATTTCTAAACGAAGAAAATATGTTTATCCTTGTATATCTTTTCATGAAACAATAGACACCTTCAATAAGACTGTATTTCAACGAAAGTTGCTAAAAAAATAACACTTCTAATTTAATTAAAAATATTTATCATAATCCTTAGCCATAAACCATAAAGAGTCTCGAATCTCAAGAAGAAAAATGTCCGCAGCTACCTTCTCTTCTCCTACCCATAATTCATTTTCAAAATGGATGCCCGTCTAGGCATCACATTTAAAAACATAGAATTTCCCTTTTGGGAAGAAACAGTACTACAGATATTCACCGTAGTTTAGTGAATTTTTACTTTTTTAAATAAGCACAGTAAGAAGAGGGCTAGTTAAAGTAATGACAGTTCCAGATAGAAAGGAGAAACTGAAGTTAGTGACAGTCTCCTCAGTGTCAGGTCCTCTACTGCTGTGTAAGAGGAGAACACCAAATATGCAGATGCTTTTATTGCAGCTGACTGAATAATCATTATTGCTACAAGCCTTTTGATGATATATGTCAGTGCCTACAATTTAGTGCAGTTTCTTGGCTACTCAAAGATTTATGCTAACTGGGTTCGCAGAATACTGACTGACTCTATGAAAGAGAAAAATCTGGTTGCTACTTAAGAGCTTCTGGAATTATACAACGCGAATAGTACTAAAAGTTCAGCGGTTCTCCGATGATGATACGACGAAAGAGCAAATTCGCATATGGCTTTGAAGTGGACAAGAAGCTTCTACGAGGTGTGTACGGATGTCTTCCTTCAGAGGCTAAATGATATGTTTCGGAAGGAAAAGACTACATTTACGAATGGATTTGGTATATTGAAATTTTTCTGTTTTGCCTTTCTACAATGAAATCTGTTATGAATACTTTCGTATCTGCTCTCGCATCTTACAAGTTAAAAAGAAATCTAAGCGTGAACAACGTCGTTTTAATATTGAACGGAAGATGCTTACATTTTCTCAACTTGATCAGTCGGATTCCATTGTGAGAAGGAAAACTTGAACTCTAGCAAAAATTCAATAATTGTCTTTTAATTACTGAGTAAAAATTAGTACAATAAGGGACGTTTGACTAACTGAACGCTCCACGACTTAGAAAGAGAAATCAGCTAGCTGAGTTCGAATTCCGAATAAATTGCGTTTACTTTCTCCCAAATACCTTAGCTTTAATCCTCTTGACTATGGTTCTAATAGTAGGGCAGACTGGACTCGCTAGCCTTGAGTGGCAATTAATCTAGAAACTCAAATCTGAATTCAAAGCCAGCCTGAAGGGTGATTGGCTTGGTCAGGCTACTTTGCCCTAGACACACCAACTGATGTTATGACCGCAATACATGTGGTGCCCCAACAACCCACACGGACAATGCGACTCGTGTGTAAAAAGTATGGAAAAAAGTCAGAAATAGAGACGAAGAACATTTAACCAATTTTCCAAATAGGTGAAACTTGTCTGCCTTGAAATCAGTATTCAAAAACTTACCTGTATTTGGACACCGACCTCAGGTATCGGTAGGTAATACTCTATTATTTACGAAACAGGTTACATGTTAATGTAATCTTCTATCATGAGCAACTGCATCAGATCGATAGATGTTCGATATATGATAGTAACCTAGTTACCTCCACAGAAACGCGATACTTAAGTTTTAAAATGAATTTTTGAAAATTAAAGATCTTTCTTGAAGCATTTATTTTAGTTTTAATTTCAAGATAATTGAATAAATTTAATATTTCCATTAATTCTTTGATGTATCTCTAAATTAATTTAAATTGACAGAAAGGAGTATTCGTTTTGAAATTGCTAAAATCGATTATTTTAAAGCCATGTTTACCCATCCGTCATCACGATGTAATTCTGTTTATTAAAAAATCATTCAAAAATAAAATATACTTTACTGAATTTTTTTTTTCAGGAATATTAGCAGATTAAGATTTAATTAATCTGATTTAGAAGAAATATTAATTATTTGAGTTTAAAATAAAGCAGAAACGCGTTTTTAACACGGCTGTAGCTGTTTATTTAAGGCATGGATAGGTTGACAGCTCGACTGACAGACGGAAGTTTATATATTTTTTTCTATGGTGGATATATCTGTAAAAATTACTTGAGGAATATAACGTGAGCACCTTTTTATATAGATTTTAACCATCCAGTAATCTTAAAAAGTTAGGAAAATATCCTCCGTAATCTAATGTTTTATTGAATTTTGGGTACTTCGGCTTTAAATTTAGTATAGTGATCACTTTTATTTACTTATAATGTCATGAATGGGCGTCCTTATTTACAAAATTTGGTACGTTTACATACGCAAAAATTATTCAAAATTCTTTTAAAAATATTAACGGTCGATGAATTATATTAAACTTTTCCATTAATGATTAGTAAATATAGTTTTTACTTAATAGCAATATCACCCTAAACTATGGAGAGTAAAAAAGAATTGTAAAAGAATTAAAAGTTTATAAATTATTATAATTAAATTTAAAAATAAATGAAAACAATTCCTGTAAAAATTTAAGTCAGTAGTATCTATAATATATCTTATTCTTGTAAGAAATTAAAAGCATTTTTTATTTTACGATTCAGAGCCTATTTTCGTTAACTGGGCGGTTTGTTTTACAAAAAGAAATTGATGATTTAAATTCTCCAAGGAATTATATAGGGTGTTCCAATAACTTGGACCGATTTTAAATGTGAATTAAGTTTAAGCGTCTAATGATTTTTTCTTTTTCTTTCAGATTTAACAACTTAAGTCTTTGGTAATTTCAACCAAAGAAAGATTAACAATCAAACAACATGTTAAAAGTAATCGAAGCCTATTAAGCAAATGGACGTTGTTAATCTTTCGCAATGCCATAGATTTTTTTTTCAGTATTGACATAGCTATTGCAAAGATTGCAGTCTGTACTAGTTGATTTATTGCACTTTAGGGCTTCGTGGAAAAAAATAGATTTTCTTCGAATGGGGCTGTCTTCTACGGCTTTTATTTCCCTTCGTGCCCAGCTAATTCTTTTGTAGGCTTTAAACAGGGCACCATCGTAATTCGTCTGACCAATAGAAAAACACATTCGATAAGTCAATATGACTATTTGTAGCAGTGGGTAATAAAGTGGACTCCATCCTTAAATTGCTTGAAGATGCCGATTACAAGAAAGAAGAACGTGCCCACTAGAGACTTGCTCACAATTACGTCAAATGTCATACAGCATAAATGTTATAACAGAAACCACATCACTTGAGGACTACCAGCAGCAGTAACAGCTAAAATGGATAGCACGTATGACTCAGAGAAAATAACGACATAATCAAGATGTTAACATTCCACACCATTTCAAATAAATCGTTAGAAGGGAAAACCCCCATCAATACAGGAAAGATCGATAACAGCTACTAGACTTGGGAAACTTATATTCTCAAGAAATTGTTTTAAGATAAAAATTTTATAAATTTCAACCGACAGCAGTACTGGCTGCTCGGTTTATGAATGCCAAATATTTCCTTATAGGGAAATGGCTAGTATTACTATTACCGTCTCTCTCCTCAAACATCTCTATACGCGTGTGTCAATGTATGTAAAGAATATTCGATGGTGACAATACGTTTAATCTGTATACGTTTGTGTATAAATTAGGTACGATAAAACAATACGTGCAAACACAACGTGTGTGTGTGTGTTTGTGTGTACGTGTGTGTGCGTGTGTAAATACAATACGATAAAAGTAATACGTATAAAGAGTATATTAAGCTATATGCTAAAATATACATATGATGTTTTGGACTTTTTTTACGAACTTTGCGAGCTGTCTCCCTGTTGATTATCGTTGGATCGCGGGTTTGTGTTGTAAGAAGTCGCTGTAGCCAGAGTCACCGTGCCACTGTCTTTGAAATTATTGGTCGCATTGCAACAATCATTGGTAGTGTTTGTTGTTGTTGTTGTTGTTGTTGTGGTTGTGGTGGTGGTGGTAGTGATGGTGCTAATTTGTCCCTGGGAGACGCTGATAGCCAAGCTGGATAACATCAACCCTGCTGTAGACGTCACAGCACGTTGGACTCTGCTTGAATATAATCCGAGGGAGGAATCCAGCTCTGAATTTAGCAAAATTAGTGCTTGACTTGATGTCGGCATCTGCAAAAAAAAATGTATAAACAGTGAAAAAAGAAACAGAATACATATCAGTAGGATATTGTAGCATTTCGAAAGGTATGTGATTCATAAAATAAACGTGGTTTGCAGGGGGCGGTGATTAAGAACTGTAATTTTAATTGCAAACTGCAAAGATTTCAAAAGAAGCAATCTCTGTTGTTTTTTGTTTGTTTGTTTTATTTGATCATTTAAATCGAAAGCAAAAATACATCCATTAAGTCGATAATGTTAAAACGGGAGAGAGGCATGGAAGAAAGGTTTCTTTTTCTCATGTGGATTTCCCCCATTATGTACATCAATATATTCATGATAAAATAACACCATGTTTCACGGACGGAAAGGAATGGCTGAAAGGAAAAGGAATGGCAAGCATGCTTTGTTCTCAGAGAGACTTTTATACCACTTAGACATGCACAAAACTACATATGCATATTTACACATGTCCCACTCGGATAATAATATATCACATATATCTACAGAGAGAGCAGAGTGTAGGAGAAACAAAAAGGATGGGTCTGACATATAATATCGAGATACTTCTGTATCTGGAGAAGACATGTTTATGACTCCAGATTCAAACGGACCGGAGTCATCTATTATGTCCCAGGCAAGGAAATATTTCACGAAGGGAAAACGGCGAGTCTTAGGTTGTTTTTTTTAAAAAAAATTGAGGACTGAGAGACGGAGTTTCATTCTATATCTGGGAAAGATATATTCCCAAAAGGTAACGGCAACATGGACTTGTAAACTGTAGCATTTGCTGGAGGAGGCAGATTTAGCCTCAGCGCGAGTTCATTGGCCCAGACTAAAAAAGCAACCGCTTGGTTTGACTGCTGTAAACAAACCTTCTCACTGTATGAAGTGACATCATTAAGCGGCCATCACGTGACTTATCTCCGACAAGGGAGATAATCAATCACATTTGTATCCCTACAATATTATGAACTTCATTTACAATTTTATATATATCGAATTCCAGTTGAATCCATTACCCTTTGGAAAGGAATGAATCCTCTTCTTAGAGTTGTGGGTAATAGCAAGACAGACCTGGCGAGCTTTAAGTGAATGGTTGGCAGAGCAATGTTTGGGAGAGATGGCAAAAAAACAAAATTTATTAAGAGTTACAAAGGACAGTTATAGAGAGTCGTGATTACCAACATCCTGATGGGATACGGCACGTAGAAGAAGAAGAGGAAGAAAAAGGAAAAAAGAAAAGAAACAAGAAAAGTATAAAAGAACGAAAAAATATCATCAAAAAACATTCCGAAGAAAATCAGCAAGAATATTAAACTGAAAGCAAAAAAGAAAAAAAAATGAAAGGCAAAAGTTGAGCTGTCACTAATAAGAAAAGTGGGGGAAAGAAGTAAATAAACGTTTACCATAAGAATGGAATCTGGTTTTTACATTCTTTTGTCCCCAAAGAACCAACTTATTCATCTATTCATGTACGGTCTTTATAAAATAGAGCGTTTGGAAATCTATCGTTTATTTCTTTTACTGAAGAGCTTTTAATCAATGAACAATTTCAGTCTGAATTTATGAATAGATTTGAATATCCAAAATGAAGTACACGAAGGAATTTTAATTAACTAAAGCTATATGTGAGTGTACATAAATAAAATGTAAATAAATATATGCGCATGTGGGTTATTGAAAAACCTCACCATCATCACTAATCTCGAGCCGTTGTAGGAGAAAAAAAAAAACCTTTCCCGAACCCTTCCATGCCGTCTGTGACTGCTATATTCTCTACAATCCTCTTACCAACAAACCTCTCTCTCTCTCTGTTTGGTCTTTTCTTACACTGTTCGCTACATATTAGGAACAAATAAAGCAACCTTTTAATGCATCTTTATTTCTTGCTATGTGTTCTGCCCACCTCCATTTTTGTGATTTGATCACTTTTATAATTTCTCTCATTTAGTCAGCTCTCTCATCCATAAGGACTTCTTTGCCTTCATTATTCTAATCATGGATCCTTGTAAGCCGAATATATATATATATATATATATATATATATATATATATATATATATATATATATATATATGTATATGTAATGAGAACGAAAATGATATAAATTCTAACGTTCACAGCATTAATTCAAAAGAGAGCTCGATACCAAGAGTAGAGCAATAATTATTTATTATAATTTTTAAATACGAACAAAAACAACTTGCTCACTACAAAGATGCATTCTTGTTTCGATGTGACTGCATCTCGACTGGGGAGAACCAAAAATGCTTATGGAAAAAAAAACATAGAGAGAAACACCTTAAGAGGAAACGGTGAGGGGTAAAGAAAAGAGAGAAAAGAGAAGGAAATTAAAGAGGGTGACCAAGTAAGACAATATTATTTGTCGTTAACAATTTGGGTGGTGAAGGAATGTTAGGCGGTAATACAAGGGCCTGACCCTAAAAGTTTTTGTTACCGTGCAACCTAAGTCTAAGTAAATTTCGTCAAAACTCCCAAAAAAAAGGAGAGAGAGAGAGGGAGGGAAAAGTGGAAATCGAAAAAAGGAAAAACGATGAAGAAGAAATGAGGAATAAGTATAGGGGAAGGCCATAGTTGTAATTGACGACGTTTTTTTACACGATGAAGTGTCAGGGATCTTTAAAAAAACAAAGCTGAATCACGCAGTTTTATGCTGAAGTTTCCGTTATTTCTTCTGGAATAAACGCAGTTTGTAAATGAATAAATAGTCATTTAAGTAGGAATTATTTTGGCATGTTCAACAAATAAGTTATTTGGGGTTTTACAATAAATTTTTGTTCAGAGTTTAAGATATAAGTAAAAAGACATAAAAAGCATGGAATGTTAATATAGATTTTCTATAAGCCAATTTTGATCTATTGTCGAACAGAATAACTTATAGAATAAGTATGGATATAAATCAATTTATCTGATACTGTTGCTAGTATTATATATGTGCAGAAACAATTTAGAATTATAATCTAAGATAAATCAGTAGAAAAGTATATAAGAAGGTAGAAAATATATAAAGGAGCTGAGTTATAAATTTAAAAGATTGCAATGTTAGATCTTTAATGTGACTACAAAAAGATCTAACGTTGCAAATCTTGTTAAACTTTTCTACCTTATGAATCTAAATACACGTAATGATATAAATACATAATACAAGATTAATATATATCTACACTAACCTTCCACACACCTTAGATAAGTTTATATGTAAAGGAACTATAGTTATAGAACCAAAGATGGTATAAAAGAGGGTGACTGGAAAGTGGCCCTCAGTGTACATGGCAATACTTCCATTAAAGAATAATGCGTAATGAGGGAAATCATAGTTGGTAGAACATATAAAATATAGTAGCTAGGTGATGGCTGTTAAAAATATAGTAGGTAGGAGATGGCTGTTAAAATTTGTAGCTAAAATGTGAGCGGAGGGCCTACTCATTCGAGGAGTGGTGTTACTGATTATAGGTTACTTTGTGGCAATTATAATTTCTGAGTAAATCTAAATTTGTTTAGTCCCTTATGTGGGAATTTACTTTTATGATATACTTCAACTCCGATATGCGTCTATCTTCCCGGCTAACGAACCCAGACTCACTCTCTCTCTCTCTCTCTATATATATATATATATATATATATATATATATATATATATAGGATAACGATATATAAAATTTTATATATCAAGAACAATTTTTGGGAAAGATGTAAGACAAAGTGGAAAAAGTTTTCGTGTGACTCTCGTGTGATGGAGTTCTATAGAACTCTGACACACACACACACACACAGACACACACACACACATATATATATATATATATATATATATATATATATATATAGTAAAGGTAACAAATCTGTTGGTATATAATCTAAGTGGATCTTAGTAAAATAAAATATTCAAACTGATCTACAAATAGAGCTCAATATATTTATAATTACAGAGCAAATAAGAAATAAGCAATAAAACCCAAAATCACCTCATATTAAAAAAAAAACAATCGAAAAACTAATACAGAATGTATACACATCAATGTTTTTATATTAGTTTTTCGATTGATACATATATATATATATGTGTGCCTATATATGTACGTGTGTATGGGTGTGTGTATATGTATGTATGTATATATGTAAATATATATATATATGTATGTGTGTATATATATATATATATATAAGTGTGTGTGTGTGTGTGGTTGTATATATATATGTATGCATATATATATATGTATGTATGTGTGTATATGTATGTATGTGTGTGTATGTGTATATGTATAAATATATATATGTATATGTATGATAAAATCACGGCAGTATAATGTTGGCCAGCATGGTTCGCGGGATTGGGTGCGACTGAGTAATGAATTAGTTCCTCACTGAGTGCCTCCTAATTTCGGCTTTACGCCACTATATATTTGTATATATATATGTCTGTGTGTGTATGTGTGTATGTATGTATGTATATATATATATATATGTGTGTGCATATATATATATCTGTATGTCCTATTTTATTGTGTATGTATATCTATATTTAAGTATATTTCTGTTTGTATGATTGTGTTTATATATTTGTATGTTAGACTATATGTATATTGGTGTGTGTTGGTTTTTGAAGGTATATTTATGTATCTATATGTTAGTACGTTTATGTATGTATTTGGTTGAGTGTTGTTGTATTTTTATGTATGCATGTGTATATGGTTAGTTGTTATTGTAGATAGATATTTTTTTATATATATGTTTATTTGTAGATATGTATGTATGTGTGTATATATATTTATGTATGTTTATGTGTATATATATATATATGTGTGTGTGTTGGCACCTATTATGTATGAGTTTGTTTTGTGTGTATGTGGGGTATGGAAACTTTGGTATATCATGACTGTTTTTTATATATGTAAGTATGTGTGCATAAAAGTTTGTGTGTATATATGTGGGTGTATTTAGGTTTATATGTATATGTGCGTGCATGTGTACTTGTTATCATAGATATGTATATGTGCGTATATGTTTATGTTTATATATTTATTTGTATGCATTTCTGTATGTAAATATATATGTATATGTATGTATGAGTGTATATTTATGTGTGTTAATTTGTTTTTGCTCTCGGTGTATATATATATATATATATATATATATATGTATATAATTGTGTGTTTCTGTATACTGTTTTTCCTTGCCTAATATATAATGAAACTATTATCAACTTATATGATTAATATATATTTTATTGATATTTATGGTTTTAGAATTTTCGTTTTAATATATTAAATAATATTATTTTTTAACCATTTTTATCTTTGTATATTTGCTCCCTTAAGTTATAATTCAATAAGTGGTTAGCATTTATTTAAGTCTGAAATATTTATTGGTTGTGATTTCTCATTGTCTGTCATTGTCTGTGGATGTATGTATGTGTATCTATCGGTGTCTATGTGTATGTAGAATGTATTCACTGTGTGTGTGTATTAGTGTTAGTTTCACGTCTCCTTTTTTCTTAAAGGGCTGTAGAGATGTTCATGTTTTCCCCCCCACCTCCTTCTTTTTTTTTTTTTTTTAGTGTGTATGTATGTGTGTGTGTGTGTGTGTGTGTTTGTGTGTGTGTGTGTGTCTGTATGTGTGTATATCTAATTATGTCTGGGTGCTTATGTATTATAATCTGATTGTGTTTTTGTTGTCTTGATGCGTGAGTTTAAGACCACATCCACAAACTTTAAAATAAAAACGGAAATGAAAGGGAAAGGAAAAAAATATATATACATGTATTATCAAATGACCGGATATATTGTAGCGTCCTTGTCGAACATAATTTCAATGAAGAAATGAATTGAATAAACATATATATTTTTTTTTTCTCAATAATTTTGTAGTTTTTAAACTTAATAGTGATTAAATTTGGATTTTAAAATTACCAATTTTAATTTTAATATTAAATTTTATCATATGATTTTATAATTATTAGTTAGTATAAATTATTTTTAATATTACACGTATTTAAAGATCTGAATAGCTATTATAGCAGGATTTCGTTGTCAAGCTTTTTGAATCTTTCTATACTTTGTTTTTGATTGGTTATTCTAGCTTTTGTAACAATGCTCCCCCTAGTATAGGATCGTTAATTAATCTGAAACTTTTTAAAACCATTTATTTTATTTTCAACATCATCACTTGAGAAGACACAGAATGTGTTGAAACAAAATGGCTATTTTGTAGTGATCTTATAACATACTTATGTTATAATTTTTTAAAAAATAATTATATATATATATATATATATATATATATATATATATATATTAGCTTTCACAGTTAGATTTCTGTTTTGACACGAACTCAGTCCACACTGGGGTTGATAAGACAGACGACCGATATCTTCATCTACCGAAATAGG